TCCTAGGCTTTGGATGCGACTTTGCGGTCCCTGCAGAGAGCCGAAGAACAAGGCTCACAAACAAGGCACACAGCCACACGCATACAGACATATAAACATGCGAACGTATTTACAAACTCACTCGCATGCAAACGCAGACAAGTACAGACACAGACACACAGGCCCAGAAGCACACACCCACACCGAAACAAACTTACAAACTGAACATGCGCTCGCACACAGTCGCACTAGTGTTGAATTCCTCTTGGGATGCAACCATTCAGCAAGCCAATGTTCAATCATATATAACCATTTTAACTACTATGCTTCTCAAAATAATAATCGGACCGCCCGAATGGGTGCTTTGCTTTCAGTTTCCCTTTAAACCACCCACTTCCAACGTTGAGCCACGCATATTCTTGAGACCAACCTGCGTGCCTTTCAGCTGTCGAAATCGGCCCTCCTATACAGGTCTGTCGAATTGAGCGTACCCATTTTGTGCGGTTTTTATTCGGAAACCAAAAGGAACAAAGCCATTTTGGGCATGTACGTTTGCAAAGGAAACCCGCCGCTCATCCGCAGGGCAGGCGAATGGCACAGAAACACACGGTTCTCCAAATGAAATGGCGGATCATGGCGGACCCTTTTTGGGCCGGGGCGACCGCCCCTTAGTAGTGGCAGAAAACCACGCCAGGGTCGTTTTGGGGGCCCTGAGGTTGACATCCAGCTGTGTGCGTCACTTACCCAAATAGCTGTTGTTCAAGCCCCTATCAGGTCATTTCCCATTTGTGTCTAACCGCATGTTGCGTCATTGCTATGAGCTAAGCTTCTACCTACAAACCATGGACAGCCTTGCTTCATCCCTCTGTCAAAAGCATGCCGACCATTATCCAGCCATTTTTGGCCTGAAGCAAGGCATTGCACTGCAGCTCAGCTACGAACCAACTGGGTTTGAGCTGATTTGTAGATTGCAACATTCCAGACCCGGACTAGGAGTTGGCTTTGCGGCGAACATTCGAACTACTCATCACAATACCCACGCAAAATTGCAAACAAATGGTTGCGGATATCACCTGGGCCTATATTGAGATCCATGGTGAGTGGAGTTCCTTCAGAGTCATAGGCAGCTTGCAGCTCACACGGCTAAAAATGCGGTGGGGGCTTTCATCTGAGAAATGACTCTTTGGTTCTCAGTCTCAGTTGTTTTTTTCCTTCTCAGTGAGGGAATGACCCCGAGAAGAAGCATCCGTGGTAGTCTCCTGGATGCCTATATAGGTTCATGCCCCAAAAGTTTTATTTCATTTTTTTAAAGAAGAACAAAAAACAGAAGAAGAAACAAAAACACATTCGAGCCACCCTCAAGTTCCGACTTCAATTCTTCCCCCGAGACTTCGCCGGGCCAAGGCTCGTGTAGATGTGCGGCTTCGGCCAGAGAGCAGCCGCCAGTGGCAGCTGCCATAGCAGTGCCTGGAACATGGCACCTGTCGACGACAGGCGACAGCCGACTTTTCGGGTACGTGCCGCTGGAAATTGAGCAACTGACAACTCATAGTTAAACTTGCTGGTAAAGTTGTTTAAAGTGCTTAAGTTCTGACAGAATCTTGTTTTGAGTCATGTTTGAAGACCGAAGGGGAATTATATTTCTGTCGAGCAACACAAGTACAATACCAGCGAGCAACATTGAGCAAAACTCAGGTTCCCATGGCCATTGCAAAATCCAGAGAAACAAGCGGGATAGAAGTATTGCAGACGTGAAAGATTTCTCAAAAGATTAGTCCTCTGCCAAGTAATGGTTTCCTATCGGTTTCCCTTAAGCAAATGTGGTGTCCACCAAAACATAAGAGACACTCGCTGAAGTCTCAGTCCCACGACTTGTGTATTTAACCAGAGGGGTCATTGGCGGATTCGCTCATTACCTGGTGGCTCTGCATAGCTGGACAAGTCTTTCCAAAGCGAGAACCGTGCCAGCGCTCAACATGCCGTCATACCTTTAAGTAGATCAAGCAAACACCTATTTTGTTGACGGCTTCAGCGTGAGCCTATTTTTGATTTCTCTCATTTTGTGTTTTGGGAAAGATTTATTTGTAAGCAGTTGCTTGTCTGCCCTTAAGACCCAGCTGCTCCAGCTCTCTCCTTCCATCACTTCTATCTGCGGCATAATAAAGCATGGGGAAGTGAGTGAGAGAAGATTGTGAGACGGTGAATGGACGGGAGAGGGAAAGAAGCTGATCAGGTGCCTATCTTGGCACACACCCATCCTTATCGACTACCGCGACTCGGTCTGAAGCTGGCACTCAAGCCCCTGCCTGCGGTTTGAGGGGCGTCGGTCAAAGCGCTGGAGCCAAAGAGCGAGACAGCCGACTGTCTGTAAGCTGTTTCGGCCTGAGAAAAGGAGTTCAGTCTCCAGTCTCCGTCCCAAAAGGAGGGTGAACGGCCCTTTGCGCGGAACCAACCATGCTGATTCACTTGCACCAGTCCGGCACTGAACCCCTTCCATTCATAAAAATCGGAGCATAGGGATCAGCCACGTTACTCCCCAGCCCCGCCAGCTTGCAAACTGCATGCGCCCGTCAGTTGCAGAGCCCCACAGCCCACCATCCAAACTGGGCACCTGCTTCCGTACCGAACACCTGCAAACCAGGTCAACTGGGAACATTGGTGCTTTCTCCCGTGCCTATTTGGACTACGTGGCTTCCTACCGTGATCGAGGCAACGATAGAACTCGCATCAACCTCTACCCAACTACAGTTACCAACCCCGATACTTAGCGAAGGATTTCCGCACCCGGCATTCCACATGGCCAACTCAAACCGTGCATCACGCAACTTCATGCGTGAGTTTTGCGGGTACCCTTCTTAAGCTTGGTTCAAAGGAAAACCAGAAGGGACACCGCAGATTTGGTGTATCCCTATTTTCTTGCTGGTGCTTCTTAGGGAATGATGGAATTAACCTGGAAAATTCCCTGCGAGGAAACGATAGGATGGATGGTTTAAATCGCGGTCATTTCAACTCATTCCCTTCTGAGCACCAGCAGCTTTTGACACATGGCCATGGGTCAAAATCCCGTACCCCCAGTGAACATCCCAATCCCAGCGAAAATAGGTTCTAAAATGGGCGGTGAATTCACCTACCCCAAAATGGGATCCCATTGGTTTTGACCCACATGCCCATAGACACATCGGCCTCCCGTCTGCGGCAATCAATCCGGCCCCCCGGGGCCATGGCGATTCCGGCGAGGGCCGCACTTCGGTCTCGCCGCTCTTGCGCAGCTCGAAGACGAGGACGGGCACCGCCTGGGCAAAGGGCATCCAAAGGTTTCGTTTCAGCAAGGAAACCCACACACTGACTTGATTGTTTTGCGGGGCCTTCTCCTTCTTTCCTCCTCCCCACAATAAATCGCTGCGTCGAACAGACACTGTGTGCTATCGCAAAGGCAAAAGGAAACCCGAAACCCGAACTCTTTGGTGTTACCCCCCGCCATTTAGCACATATTTGACCGAATGGAATGTAAAGTTTAACCAAATTGGCCCGGGAAATCAAATTACCAAGAAGGAGGATGTACGATGTCCTTTTGGAGAAATAGGGGGTTCCCTGGCAAATGGGGCATAAGACCAATGTAAATTAGTGTAACCCATCTAGGTCCAATCAAACAGACCAATCAAAAGGTTTAGCCTATGGGACATACTTTGACCATGATTTGAACCCCGACATTTTTCCCTGGAATATCCGGAAATCCGATACGAAAAGGGCAGCCACTAAAAACAACAAACAATTGCAACGTCTTTCTTTGGGGGACGCTCCAAAACTTGTGGTTTTCTTTTGGTGTTCGTTTAAACCACCGAAAAATGGGCACCAACATAAAACACACACACACACACCCAGAACTGGACGTGGATGTTTTTGTTTGACCCCTACATTGGTCGAGAATTGCCAGGCAAAACAGGTTGCCATCGCTTGAAACTATGGGTCCTGGACGGTCACTGGTCTGAACCAGACATGCGCTGGGAATACCACTCAGAGCCAACGGGTTGTTTGTTTGGCTGTGGATGTAATCTCAGCAAAAACACAATACAACGTGATTCTGAATTACTATCAAAATATCATGTTGATTCACTACTTTCACCTATACTATATGTATACGTAAACAGATTAAAACGAACATACATACGCTTTTTTTACTAGCAATTATTAATTAATACAGGCATACTTTCAAGTTTACATTCCGAGCCGCCGGCTGTTTGGTGGCTTGGCTGTGGATGTTTGCTAAGCAAAAACGCCATCAAACCCAACGATAATGTTGATTCGCCCTCCTTTCTGGCTGCCTTCCGCGCCGCAAGCTGAGCACCCCGCTTCTTCAGTGCCTGTCAAAATGAGAGTGACACGCCGGCTCCGAGTAGTTTATCTGGAATGATTGACATCCCAAAATGAATTGGGGCTCCATAAAGAAAAGACTAAGCACAAAATTGGGGGTCAAATCGCACCTGTTCATGTACACTTGGGTCCTCTTGAGTCTTCGACTTCCGGGCTCTGAAATCTGTCAAAACGAACATTTCTGAGTAAGGGCATGAAACAGCATAAATCAAGCAACTTGTTCGGCATGTTCCCTGGTTTCGTGTGGGTTTAGTACAGGCGCAGAAACGTCTAGCGTAGGTTGACCTTTGGTTTGGATATTTGATGATTTGCCAATAGGAGGTGCTTTTCTGGTGCGGGAATGATTTGAATATATCTATATATATATATATATATACACATATTTATAGCTGTTACATGGTTTAACCACAGTAACGAGTGATGAGGGAACGCCTCAGGCTGTGCAAGCGTCGAGCGCATGCTTCCGATTGCACCAAGTTGCAAATATATGATGCTTGGAAATCAATGCATCAACCGCAAACCGCAGGCATGATAAATTTAGGCGGAACCTAATGCCCAATGTCTCTGCGACTAGGGAGAAATGAGCCCCCAGTGTTCGTCTTTTTCCGAACCGGTGATTCCACAGAACTCGCAGCAAACTCGACGACAACGCCACTGATACGACTCCTTGTGGCCAAGTCTAAGAGAGGGTACCTGGTTTGGCGGCCGCTGGACTTTCCGCGAGCTTCGGTCGAGCTTTGCATCCTGAAGTCTATTCCTCTGCTGTCCGTATGCGGCTGTGGCCGTTCTTTTTTCCAGCACAAAGGTTGTTGCAGAGCTTTGCATCAAACACCGCAGGCAAATCTCAACCAACAAATATGTCTGAGTTGAGATGACACTGAATTACTGAGACTTGATGAAGCGATTCAAGTTCATGTTGGCATAAGGGTCTGTCATTTTTAGGGACCCCTTCGGTTTCCCTTTCAAAACCCACCAAAAGGGGGTCGCCCCGAGCACTGCTGTGGCACCACGTCTTGCACAGGGCTTTCAGATCGCATGAATAGCGGCGATTGTGGTGGCGTCCTGTTTGAATTGAATTGGGTCATGCGGGGTGCTGTGGATCTTGCACATGACCCACTTTGGGGCCATTGTAGGACCCATTTAGGGGTATGTATCTACTATGTATACTATGCACACCTTAGATGTAGGGCACTTGACAATCAATACTTGTGGCGGGCAAAAATTGATCCGTCCGTCCCCTTGGTTCGGGGAGTCATTGCGTTTGGGGCCATTGGCTTAGCTACCAAACTAGCTAGGATTCCTGTGAGCAAAGCCCACCTATCTCCACATTCACAACTTCCCTGAATCATGCGGAACCTGCGTGGACAGTTGCACATACAAGGACCACATCACATGGCATGCAAAGCACCCTACATCCACTATGCACACATATGACATGCATGTGATACCCTGTAGCACGCCTCTAGACCACGTCAAAAGCATAGGATACTGACATGTTGAGAAGAACATGCAATATACTCCTATGCATTGTTCACACTGATTCAAACACCTTTCACTCAGCATCTAAGTTGACCTGCCTACATTGAATCAAGCCATCCACATGGTGCTGGCGCGAAAACGAACAAAATAAGTCAAGAGGCTCCCGTTTTCATGGTGAACCACCCAATTTGTGGTGGAAACCCTCCAATTCACACGGCCCCGCCTTGAAAATACCAAAAACAAAAGAGTGGTGCCCCCAAAAAGAAACGACGCGTCCACATCCAAACCGCCGGCTCCGCCGACGGTTGACGGCCGCGCCTAGCTGCGCGGTGCCGGCCACTTGCCGCACCACCCGCCAGGAGTCCAACGCCGCCTCCAGGTATGCGGCCTCACCTGGCTGAAAAAAATATCGGTTTGACGGTACCTTTGCAGAACAGGGAGACTTTCTGGGAAACCACATAAACCACTGATTTGTTGGATTCTGTTCACAAACAAATAGCTTTTTTTTTACATAGACCCCCCCCCCCCCCGCAATGGATCTCCTTTCCTTCAGAATGTATATATATATATATATGTGTGTCGGGCGGCTGTGACTTTCCAGTTCGGAAGTCAGAGTTCCCGAGTCACGGTCTCTCTTTCGCGCTTTTCCGCCTCTGGCCAGTCCAAAGTAACAAGAAGGTCTTGGCCAAGGAAATCCCAGATGGCTCTGTCTTGTTTTAGGGGAACCCCACATGGCTATGAATTTTAATTAGGGACCCCTTGGTGGACATCATTTAGATGGGGATTCATGTCCACCAACCACTTTTGAGGGGGTTCCCCATGAAAATTCATAGCAACATATGATTGTCCTTTTGGTTTTCATTAAAAACCACCCCGCTTACGGGGTACCTTCAAAAAAATGACCAAGCCAGGGGAATCCGATCCCAGGTGTAGATTCCAGTGCGCAAAAGACCTCTGGCTGTGGGTCAAAACCAATGGGATCCCATTTTGGGGTAGGTGAATGCACCACCCAAATTTAGGACCTATTTTAGTGGTTGGATTGGGATGTTCACTGGGGGTACGATTTGGATTTTGACCCATGGCCAAATATTCATCGGTCCGCTGATCAATCCGATCGATCCGATTCGCCTGGTCGGTCTTGGAGGCTCAGGAAGAAGCGGCCCTGAGGCGCCATAAGCCGCCCCGCCGTGGCCAGCAGATCGCCTCATGAGCCGTGGCAACCGCGCGCAAATGCGCGCGAAGCAACTTGGTTGACGTTGGAAGGGGAGCAACAAAAAATATATGTTAGCAGTTAAGTGGGGATTTCAACCAGTAAACCACAATAAGCAAAAAGGGGTGTTTTGGAAGCGGCGGTTGAAGCAAGGAGCGAAGGAGTGAACACGGCCGCTGCCTTCGAAGCGTTCTGTTTGAGGCCAACCACTGTTGGTGTCCCAAAAAAAACTAAAGGAGCCATGTCCTTTGTTCTATCTTGAGGCATACCCACGTATTGCAAAGCCGCAACATGTTTTCCACGAACCCTGGGTAAACTATATAGCCTTGCGTTTTGCGGTTCCGGTAATGTTTCCCTTGCAATCTTTGAGGCATTTGTAGGGCTGCAAACCAAAATCTCATCCTGAGAGTCACGGTTGCTTTTACAGGGAACCAAAAGGAACCAGCCGTTTGGGGTGCCCCTATTTTGAGACAAGCTTAAATGGAGATCGGAGCCCGTTTGCTATTCAAAGATAAACCAAACGGAAACCGCTTTTGGACGTGGAGCCCTTGAGAATCACAAGGACAACGCCTGAGCAAGTTGGTTTTTGGGTGCCTGAAAACCAAACGCGCATGGGAAACAGCACGCCTGTGGATGATCGTGGATGGTAACAAATCCGCATAAAGCAACAGTTGGAAGAACCAAATACGCAGGGATGAAACAGCAACTCGCGTCGCCACGGCTTTAGGTCTTTGGGTGAAGCAACCCACGAGCGCAGTAGTGGCCCCGTTTGCGACTCAAAGTACTTCAAAGCCCCAGATTGAAGTTTTCAGGGGAGATGAAACAAGAGTCCGGCCCTGAGAAGTGAAACAGTTGGAGCCCTGCATTTCTGGTGATAGTCGACCCCCTGAGTGTGGTTGGACCATACAAAGTCCGATCGGCCATGAGCTACTGAAAGCCAGCTGCAAGCTGATATAGCCCAGATTTGGGAAGAGCCCATTTACTCCTGGACAAGTCCAAGGACAGTTCAACATTGGAGAAAGAAGTAGCCCAACTATGGATAACGTAACTTTCAACGTCTTGTTTCAGCAACCATCTCAATGATTTTGGTGTTTGTTTGATCTGTGTCTCTGGCCAACAACATGGGACATGGCTGCGCAGCTGCCTGTCCACCAAACTCCAGGCTTTCCTGGCTGAATAACTCATATCTGTCTCAACTGCTAAAACATCCCCCAGGAAGCGTGAAGCGAATGCTTCCCTTAGCCCTTTCAGTCACAGTGCTCGAGGTGGCTTGGAAGGCTACCATGGCACAAGAGCCCCTGTCCACTTCCATGATTCAATAGAGGATACCACGTATTTGGCTCTGGATTCGTGTGGCGAGCACCCTTCAAATGGTTGGACTTCAATTCCCATGCAAATATCGGGGGGGGGGGGGGGGGGGGTGGGAAGGGGGGAGGGAGCCCCAATGAACCCCGGGCTCAATAAGGGCTTATTTGGGCTCCCTCCCCCTCCCCTCCCTCCCCCCAGCCCCCATGAAAATATCAACCAGCACCAGCTCGTGACACATGAATATACCCAGGACCATGTGCTTGATTCGGGTCGTTCTTTAGTGGACCTCCCAACCCAAAGACAAACCCATGAGGCAGAGCAAGGAGAGTCATGGAAAGACATGGCCATAGGCTCCCCTTAGGCCACCAGCTCCACAAGCCCAGCATGACGGTTCGGATGGGTGGCCCAGCCATCCCCTTAGCTTTTTAGCCTTTTAGTGTTTAGTGGTAGTTTCCGATCAACCCACTAAAAGTTATTAACTTTTAGCAGGGGATCCGAAAAAAAGGGCAGCCCAGGAAAGGGGATGTCACATGAGCGATGCGGCAATCAGAACATGGATACTTCCAAACATGGCCCCTGGTAATTTTCAAGCTGTCCTTGTTCGAGGCCCCCAATACGATGACGCGATGACGCGAAAAACAAGTTCGTGTCAAAGCATCCAGTTTCAGGACGCTCTGTCCAAGTTGCCGAGGCAGTCGGGGCGGTAGGTCACGTCACTCCCCACCACCAAGTCGAACTTGCCTCGAACCGAGGAGGCAGAAGCAGTGGGGTGAAAGAATCCACAAGGGGAAGGTGGAGTGCCACAGAAGGAAAGGAATCAATTCAGCGGAACCAAAAAAGAAACAAGGCTGAGAACGGCGGCTCCCACTCATTTCATCCCGCGATCCCAATGATCGCATTTGCTTGGTTCATGTCGGTTTTGGGTATGCAGAGTGATACGAGTCTGTCTTTTTTGAGGGTATACCCCTTTTTTGTGGTTTGACAGGGAAAGCAAGAGGACAGTGTTAAGTATGGGGGGGGAGGGGGGGTACCCACAAATTTATTTGCAAGTGGTCGAAAGCGAAGCGGCCAACGGAATGAGCACGACCGGCAGCCTCTAGCACAATCCCAAGAAAAAAATAATCAGTAAGCGACAAAAGGCTCATTTACCACGTCTTGCCGTGTGTGAGCACGTAGCAGCAATAGCCCTCAGGTGCTGGCACCCATCGAATTGCACCACTAGGATCCATACATATTCACTAGAGTCGCTAGATAGTTGCATGCCACTGTCCACCAGACAGAACAATATCTTGCATTTCCCGATCCTACGGAGAAAGCAGGGGCTGCATCATCTGGCAACATGGCGAACTACGTTCTGCACTGCAGTAAGTTCATGCAGAACTTGGATCTGGTTTTTTTGAGGGTACCGCTTTTTGGGGGTTGAATTGAAGGACAGCCAAAAGAAAAACCCATCGTTGTTGTTGTTTGTTTTCCTTTGGGGGGGTCCAACGTTTGAAAGACACGCCCACTTCGCAAAAACCATTCGTCTCGGTAACCCGAGATCTCCAGCGCCTAGGGCCGCGATGTGCTCCAAGGCTTCCTCGTCCCCCCACTTCAGAGGCGCCACCTGCGAGCGAGCGAGCGAGCGAGCCGCTGACTCAACTTCCGCTGATTGGCCCTCAGGTGGCTCGCGAGCATTGCTAATGAGAACTCACAACAGGGCCTTTACCCAATGGATACTCGCCAAACCACGGGCCAAGAAGGAGAACCGCGTGGTTTCTGCTCCTGGTCAAACGTGACGTGGGGCGTTCCGTTATCTTTGCTTGCCGGCGTGTGGCAGGGCATCAAGTGGCTGAAATGTATTTATCTCATGACAAGAACTCCGATGCCTTGCCATGGACGCAACATGTAGCAACACAAGGAAAGCAAGAATGCAAAGCACCGTGGGGAGAAGTCAGAGACAGCCACAGGAAATCAAGAGTTGTTTGAGCCAAAAAAAAACATGACTCGTTTGCGTTTAAGGGAGGGTGATCTCTGTTGAGCATATGAAAGTCATTTTGCCAATACCTGTGACTTTATCCATGCTTTCCCCTTCTTGCTACCCCGCATCCTCCCTTCTCAAAACCACCCAGTCAGCCAAGCGGGCCACTGAGAAGTGGAGGCTTTCTGGGAGACATCGACGTCGATTTGTGTGGTTGGTGCCGCCTGAAAGAGACGATTTTGACCAGTCATGACAATGTGAACTTAAACCGCGTAAACAAATAGCCAATCAACTGCAGCAAATCGACATTCTCCACGGCGCGCTCACATGGTGTGTCGTGTCAAAAGCTACACTGCATCTGGCTCCATACGAAAAACAGTGGCACAAACAGGGGGGTCTTTTTGCCACCTTTTGTGAGAAAATGGGCGACCACCTCAACAAGGAATGCTTCACTACAAGGAGGTCGATCACAAAGCTGCCGGCATGCCTGCAAGTCCAGGCCCTCGGGGGAGTTCTCCGCTACGTTGCGCATCAGCAACGGCAGCTGCTCGGGAGACTGGCATTTGTCGCGCAGGAGTGCTCCAAAGGACTCAGAATGTGGGCGTAGCTAAAGAAAACCTGGCTACGTATCTTTGGGCGCGCAGCAAACCTGGCTGAACACTATTCAGTCGAACTGAAGGGTCAGCAAGGATGGCTGTTTCATGTGGGTGAATTGAATTTAAAGGCAACCTCTACCAAAAGTCCCCGCTTTTCGACACATCATTCCAGCTAGCAGTCACATCCGCACAGGGCGTGATTTCACCGGGTTTCGACCATCAGCACGTGACGCTTTGGTCCACTTTGTTTGCAGGGGCCTTGAAGTGGACCAAGATCTTTGGGCAACTCAACTCCCACGTGAAGGTCAAAACGACACTTACGTGACATCCAAAACATCCGGGAGGCTCTTGCCCATTTGCCGGAACACGACACGCTGTTTCTTGCATCGGAAGGAGATCCTCCATCTATTTAAGATCCTTTTCCAGGCACCGCTGTTCACCAGACAATTGTGAAAACACAAATCCTTGCACGAAACACATGTTTCTGGTTGTTCGCTTCGCCTCCTTTCTTTGGTTGGGCCTTCCAAGAACTCAATTCTTGCGGCGAATTCATGCGCTTCGCGAGTTCTCTCGAGATCCATCGAACCATTCAGCAGATTCTCAGACTTCATTTTGGACCCCGTTTGGTGGGTGCTTAAAGGGAAACCAGAGAGGAACCAATGATCATTTTAGGGATCCAAACTAAAAGGAACCCATTGCCACTTTTCGATAAATGATCCCTTTGAGCAAAAGGAAACCCTTCTTGCCATTCTCTGAGAAATAGATCCCCTTATTTCCAGGGAAGCCAAAAGGATTTTTTTTGGCATGGGACACTCGTGGACAAAAACATCGGCCCTTCGAATCAAACCTGTGAGGGTGTCTTTTTCAGAGCATGCCCATTTCGGGCTGGGTTTAAGCGGAAGCCTAAAGTTTGAAACCACCATTTCGATGGTTTCCCATTCCCCCCCAAACAAAAAACAAAAACCCAAGAAAAAAAAAAGAAGTCATCCAAACAAACAAAACGGGGGGCTCCCCGTTCCTCCAACCAAAACCCCCCCTTCCGACGACTCCGCTGACTCGCTCCCCGCTCCTCGGTGAGCAGCACCTCGCAGCCCTTGAAGAGCGCCAGGAAGAGGCCCACGGCGCCCACGCCGGCGCCCAGCTCCACGGCGCGGCAGTTCAGGCAGCTCTTCGCCACCTCGAGCCCGCGGGGGACTCGACTGGAGCGAGAGCTCGAGCGCGGGGAGGGGAGTCCAGGTCTGCAGTGTGTCAATTGGATCCCTACAATGATCATGGGCTCCAGCTTGGTGTCTTTTTGAATACCGACCAAAACGGTGTCAACAGATCCCTGAAATGATCATGGGTTCAACTTTGGTGTTTCCCTTTACATGTCCGTAGTGTGTCAAAAAGGAGGAAGCGGTTTAGTTTGGATCCCTGAAATCATGGCTTCCTTTTCTCGGTCGACTGGAGCTCGCTGGAGTCATCATGTATTTAGTGTGTCAAACATGAGCTATCGGCTTCCTTTGGATCCCTAAAGTGACCATGGGTTCAACTTTGGCTTGTCCCTAGAAAAAAAGGATAAGAAACAAAAAAAACCTAAGGGGGTCTGAAATGAATTCTGACAAACTGCCGAATGGCTCGATGGACCCCGAGAATTCATGGGTGAAGTGTCCTTTGGACCACAACGGGGACCAACTCAAAAAAGAAAAAACGTGTGATGGGCTTTGGCCCTTGCTCCCCTACATCCTCAACTTGGACTGTTAGGGTGGTATATTTCTCCAAACACACCAGGAAACTCACTTTCCAATTGGAGGTGATGCTAACCCCAAAGAAGAGATACAGGCACGCTGAGTGGAGGTGTTTGCTATTCTTTACTAGGGCTGGCTTTTTGCTACGTCTGGACCAGATCGGGCAGGAGCCTTCCTGGTTGAGTATTTTCCGGGGGCCTGATGGGCCAAATTGGTAGTCGTGAGCTAGTGTTGGGCCCCCAGCAGCAGCACCGGCCGCACAAAGCCTCCCAAACCCATCCTAAACCAGCCCAAAACTAACCAAACCACAACCTAAAGCAACCCTAAAGACGCAGCTAAACAAGCAGCACACCTAACGCATGTCAGCTCTAAGCCTGAACCCGCCCAACAGCTGTCTGGATACCAGCCCTTTGCCAAGCTTAAATCAACCCCAAACCAATCCAAGACTCGCCCTCATTGACATCCAAGCCAGCCAAAAACCCACCTCCGAGCAACTCCCAACTCAACTACCATCAAATCCAGTCCAGGTGATTCTGGGGATGCTTCCAACCAACCAGCCAGACAGCTTGAACAAAACAGCACTAACTAGTCTTAAAGAAACAACAGCTTGTCTAGGAACCCTGTTTCCCCGCCCACACTTCCCCGCCCTCCCAAACAAAACAATGCCAAAATAAGAAGAGGGGGGCCAGAATGGTGGGTGTTCCTGTCGAAAAAGGCCCAGTCCTTGTTCCCTCGGAGCATGGGAACCAATCGTTCGAGAACCTAAGGTCCGACTGGAAGAACATAGCGGCAAGTGTCCGAGTTTCCGATTGCTAAATCCCGGCCTCACTTTAATGAGGAGTCCGACTTCAACAAAACCCTTTCATAAAATTAAGTACACATCTGACCTATGTAGTAAATGGTTCAATTTTCTTCTGATCTCGTGCCGCTCAAAAAGGATTCTTCAAACCACTCTGTCACATATGGCCTGCGGAGCTCGACTTCTCACTTTCTGAGCGGATTGGCCAAAACACGACCAACTTGTTTATTTAACACTAAAACGGTCCAAAAGCACGAAAAGCTTGAAGTCAAGGAACTCAGCGGTTTCCTGGCGACCCCGACCGAAGTTTGAACCATCCCCGCCTCTCCGTCCAAATGTTCGATCAGGGCCTTGGCTGCTGGCCACAGCACTGCCCCGGATCCGCAGGACCCTGCAAAGCGGCCTCGGGGTTTGGGGTGCCAAGGGGAGGAGCTGTGGCCGTGGTTTTCGTTTGAGGATGCCGCATGCCCCCCGCTTTTTTGGCTTCGAAAGGGAATCCAAAAGGAAAACCCGGCATCTTGGCCCTCCATAAGCTCGTGCTAAAGCACGAAATGGCCAAACAGAGCAAGTCCGGATGTCGAAGACTAGCTCAATGCATACCCTTCTCGTCAACACAAAGCCGGGACCCCTAAGTAAGCTGATGCTCGCGAACTAGTGTGCTGTCCATTGGGCATTTGCGAATGTCTTGTTCGCCGCTCAAGCACTACTTTCCATGGCTGCCCGCGGTGAGGGCAAACAGTTCAAATATTCATCACGTTCCGTTACAGGCGCAAGAGCACAAGCGCAATATAGAGGTGCAACTGGCTAAGAGTAATCAAACCGCTCATCCCTGCCTGTTACTAATGACAAATTGCCAGTTCTAGCTGGAGCAGCGCCAAGATCGAGCAACAGCCCTGTTTTGCAGACCGTATGCTTTCCCTTCCAGCGCCCCAAACAATATGCACAGAGTGACACCCTTGATGGCACACGCCCTTGGAATTGCAGGAAACTCTGCGCTTTTCGGCCATATTGAGTCACGCGAATCCTATCTGGAAGAACTGTGACTTTGACTTGGGTACATCAGCCCGCTAGCAAAAAAACATTCAGACCCACATGTTCCACACAACGCGAACTGTTGAAATCCCATATATACTTAATAGTTGTATCCTGTAGGTTGTTGGCTGAACAGAATGAAGAAATGAAGGGTTCGATGTCTTGAAGACAGCGTATTTATTTATCTAAACTCCCGACCCGGGGTTCATGCCCAGCCACTCAGAAGGGGAAGTTTGACCGGGTACCAATATTCTGACACGTTCAAAGTCTCCCAAAGGGGCCGGAGGGGCTTCTCTCTTGGCGGGGAGTACTTGGTGAGGGAATGACCTCGACTGAACCATCCAACTGGTATCCTTTAAGGGCGTCCTTGGGTCATTCCAAAAACGACTTGAAAAAAACATCCCAACCGAGAACCATTTCCCAGACTAGGAAAAACAACCGGGTAAATAACAACTATTGAGTCTCTTGTTTTGGGGCAGTGGAAAGAAGGGACCAACAGCCAAAAGAAAAAAGTGAAGGCAAACGCATGCCACTGACCTGGGGCTTTCATGTCGCTCCGTGCCTGTGGGATCCTCCTGCAAAGTGAGCAGCCTCTTGCCCCGGCCGGGCACCTCGAAGATCCTGGAATCCGGATACGTGTTGCCGCTGGAAGACCCAAAGATGGACTTCCTTTTCCAGATCCCATGGTTCAGGGGTATGATTCGCACCCATGGTATGGTTCAGGGCTATGATTCGCACAAGTCGAACTGCCATCCTAAACCTTGGGCACCTTAGAAAGCCACACGCTTCAAATTTGAAAACCACCAACCGAATGCAAACTGCCAGGAGTCTAAAGCTGTCCAAACCTGCGGGATCTGCTTCGCAATGTCGCGATGGCTGCACTGTGATCTTTATACGGAACCTCCTGCGGCCTATCGCGGGAGGCTATTCGCCACTTAGCACTGCGTTGGGATCAACACCGGATCACTTGCCTTCAAAAGCAATGAAACAACTCGTCTTAGAATGTCAGACCTCGCAACTCATCTTCCCGAATGGAATAATTACAAACGAGACTGGCAACATACGCACCGGAATCCTTGAGTGTCGGAATGCAAACAACCACACCCACACAAACGGAAACCATCAGACCCACTGACCTGATGCATGCACAGGGTTTCACATGTTCGCAATTGGCGGCTCTGGCTGAATTCTGTGCAACAAGCCTTTCAAGCGCCAAAGCAGTGCACGTCTTGAAGCCATAGCACCCTTGGCCAAACTAAACACCGTATTTAAAACGGTCTGCCCAACAATCCTAAGCCAAATCCTCGGAACCCGTACATGTACACCATTGCGACATGAAATCCAACCTGGACGAAATAATTGGACCCACGTGCGCCAATCGTGCACACCCGCTTGTGGCGCAAGCTGCTTCATGAGGTAGCAAAGTGCAAGTGCAACTCTGTGCACCCCTTTGAAGACCCCGCGGGACCCAATCTCGTTTCGCGCCTCTTCTGGAGATGCTGCTCCTTCTCTGCTTGCGACAGACGATAACTTTCGTGGATGTCCTCCAGACCTGAGGCCAGCGGGGGTCACTACACTCCCTCCCACAAACATGGCACTCCTTAAGAGGAAATTGATCTTCCAGATTCCTCCCCACAGGTGCCATGTCAGTGGGAGGAAAGGGTACTGTGATTGGAATCCCAGAAAAATATATTCACCGAATCCATCGAAAGACCAATGAGCCTGCTGCTCGATGTTGTTTATTCAAGAGAACTGCTTCTGCTTCAGGCTGGAAAACATATTGTCCTAACGGGTCTGTCTTTTTTTGAGGGTACCTTTTTTTAGTGGTGGTTTAAAAGGGACACCAAGCCGAAACCCACCATTTTTTGGGGAGTCTCAGGTCCGCGTTAACAAGACACACCCAAATATTCCCAACACAAACCACTGTGTTAACGCGGCCAAAAAATGGTGGGTTTCGGCTTGGTGTCCCTTTAAAACCACCACTAAAAAAAGGTACCCTCAAAAAACAGACAGACCCGTTAGGACAATATGTTTTCCGGCCTGAAGACCTGCTTTCTCTGCCAAATATTGACATAATGCCCGAATTCGATCAGTATCAGTGTACGTGAGGGATAGACGGTGGACAACCATAGATGTCCTTTGAAAAATGACGGGGGGCCTGGCCGAAGCCATAGAATCTTCCGCCGTTGGCTGTAGGATGCCTGCATACAAGCACAATTGCCATGCTTATCCATACAATCTATATCCCGTTCAAGCCACACTTGCAATCCACGTAAGTCACACTCCGATTAGTTGCATCCACAGGCCGGGCAACTCTAAAACAGTAAAACTAGGAAAGCAGCTGGCAAGATTGGCAAAACTTGAAATGCTCAATCGATTCGTTTGCGAAAGAAGCCATGGACGTGGAATTTGGGGAGACACTCCGAAAGATCCTCAAGGAACACTTGTGCAGTGGAAAAGACCACTGCCAGCGCTTGTTGGGCGGACAAAGCAGTGGGGTGCTGGTAACGAGCGCCAAACAGTGGTCACTGGACTTCCCCAAATCCAATTATCAATCGACTGGTGGCAATTTGTTTGGAACGTCGCTTTTGGAGCTTCCGTTTCAAGGGACATGGCTCGGACCACCGTGTGCCATGTAGCGCATTTCTTTGCTGGTGCTCAGCAGGGAAGGAGGGGATGGCCCCTACCAGTATAGTTTGCTTTACCCTCCCCCGGACTAACATGGGAGCTCCCAGCCCGAAATGGAAGACAAAAGGTTAACCATTTACAGGATCGGCCTGGGGGAAGCTTCTGGCTAGCCTTTTTTGAAAGGGAATCCCCAGGTTCCATGTCTCATTCCCTACCAGTTAAGCAAACCATGAGAAACGGAATGAACCTGGGGATTCCCTTAAAGCAACCCATGAAATACGGATGGTTTAAATCGGGGTCCGGTCATCCGTCTCCGGGCCCCGGGCGCTTTTTGCACATCGAGGCCCAAAGAGCCGGCGGCACCCCCGGGGGTGCGCCTAACCGACTCGAGGCTGTATAGACCGTTGGGCTTCCGTGATGCGAAGCGGAGTTTGTGGGAGACAAGGCAAACCATGGGGTTTCATTCATCCTGGGTGCAAAGCTTCGGATTTTTGTCCAGGACACAAGTGCTCCAACCAAATTCCCACCATCCAGAAGCGCAGGCACCACTGGTATGCAGGGTGTCTAGCAATAGCACATGTGTGTGTGTGTGTGTGTCTGTGTGTGTGTCAGTGCGTGTATTTCCTAAACAGGAGCCCAGGCCCTTTCCAAATGGTGCCAACAGTATTGTGACGTGGTTTTGCCAAGCCATGCAACAAGTGTGTACAAATTGTGAACATTCAGTCTTGGAAGTGGCAACATCCACGCTGCCCAAATGCTAATCAAGGCTGTCGAGACAATTAAGCTCACTGTCTGTTCAACCAAATCGACGAGGTCGAGGCATCCCTGGAAAGATCCCATCTTCTAAACGCGCAATCTCGTAAACAGACTGCCTCTCTCTTAAGCAAAATCACAGGCAGCTATTAAAGGCTGCTCTTTACACAAGGGTGAACGATGGCGAAATGTGGATAAGGGGATGACCAAGAACAGGAATAGTGCCATCCTTCATCCCTCTGTGTGCATATCCGGGTGTCTTTTTTACAGAAAGAGGTCAGGACCCCTTTTTTGAGAGTCATGGAGACTCCAGGCACCATATTTTGAGACAACATCTGTCTGAGACTTCGATCCCTACTTGCGATTGCTCTAGTCGCGGCAAAGAGTTTTTAGCCTGCATGGCTACATACAAGTTAATGGGGAACATCCTCCCAAAAGGCTGGTGGACATAAAATTGACGGCCACCAAAACCCCAAGTTTGAGACAAACTCGTGAGACATCGCGTCGCAGGGCGTCGCGGGCCTTTCAGGGCAGCCTGCGCAGCAGCGTCCAGGAGGTCACCTCAAGCGAGGTGTGAGGCGCGGCAAGTCTGTTGGGTTGGTTTGATGGCACATCCAACAGGAAACCACCCAGTTTTGAAGAGGGGACCGCAACAAGAGATCTCCCCCATGTGAATTTGCAGGGAGTAGCGAGCAATTGTTGGTTGTGGGTGTCAGAACAAACAACCCTGAAGCTCCAGGCAAACAGGGCTGATCTATGCCATTCGTGGAATGGTCAGCCTTTGGGTCTGCCTTAGCTGCATCGAACATCGGACGCATCGTGTATAAGCTTGAGCAACCAAAGCTGTGGCTTGGGTCTATGAAGAGTGCAAAGATTCATCCCTTCTACAAGACTACCTACTGCCTACCACTTGCATCGGTTCCAATCTGAGCGTTCAAACCCCCGCATGCACCTCATTCCCTGTGTTTTGATTTATTCATTCATTTAGCATTTGATTTTGTATGTGACATGTACGTCAACAACTGTTTGCCGCACCGGACTCCACAAGATGGTCCCGATCAAGCTCGCGCCTCCACCCAGGGATGCCAGAAAGGCCGGCAGCTCCGGCACCTGATGACGGTGCCATGAGGGCACGGTCGAAAGTACGAGTCTCCCTGGGGAGGAAATTCGCCGACTTCTGTTCGTGGTTGGAAGCTTCGCCCTCGTGTGGGGTTCACGGCGCTGACCGCACCAGTCGGCGGAATGAGCCGGAGACTCGAAAGTTTAGCCCAAATGTACCACAGACTGATAATTGAACCACCGAATCTCCGATTTCTCCGCTACCATCGCTACCCCCAAACCACCCTGAGGAAAAAATGGGTATATAGCCTATCCCAATAAACCCCTGGAGGTGGCTGAAGTGGAACCCGCCTTATGTAAGTTCCAGTTGGTTTCCCTCAAATCACCTGAAGTAGAGGCCATATTAGGACCCCATCTCTTCTATCCAGGTGGGTCCGCCAGGCTAGCCAACTCGGGTTTCGGTTGGGTTTTCCTTTTGGTGGTCCTGTAAAACCACAAGCAAATAGGTACCCTCAAGGAAAAACACACACACTCTGATATTCCCTGACCCCATGTTGCAACTCAAGAGCTCAGCTCGACATGCACTTCGTTCGAATATGCCCATGAGCCAAGGTTCTAGTTAGGCACCCCGTTCATGCAGGAGCCCCTCCTCATGTTCACGCACTTGGACTCGGGGTGAATGCTGGGATTCAATCCGCCACTCCCATAACCCCGCCCCCTCCTCCCCAACCTAAGATCCGACGTATGGCCTTTGGACGAGCCCCGAGAAAGCGGGGGATCGGTGATCGGCGCTCCCCCAACCGCGAGGGGGAGAGGCGGCATCGACGCGGCCCAAGTTTGAGCGGCCTCGCCAATGGACATGCTAGTGTTCCATGGGCACAAATATACTCTTACCAGCGTCCTCTAGAAGTGCTCTTAAGAAACAGAGGCTCGGAAGTGTTGGGATATTTATGCTAGTTGGCTGTGTAGAAGCACTTCAGGAAACGATTCCCCATGGGAGCAACCTACGTGATTGAACTCATACACACATCTAGTGAACTCGCGTCCCAGCCTCATCATCCATTGAATTCATCTCGGCATGACCGGGTGAAACAAGCATGCTCTAATTCTTGCTGTTGCACATGTGCTCGGCTGTTCATGCGTACATCATATTGCACCGTCATGTCTGGTCCAGAGCTCCACCAACTTGTGGTCACGACAACACGTGAAAATGCCAATTGACCGCATGCGATATCTAGCATTGGCTGTACATGCACTTCAGCCGGCTCAGCTGTTTGTGGCTGGTTTCATGTGGCGGTCACGCTAAGCCGGGAGACGGCGCACAGCTGTCATTTAAACGTGGCGCTTCATTTGGTGCATTGATATAGTAGGATTGCTGCCATTAGCTGACCGAAAATTTCACACCTGTTTGATACTGCAGGTGCCCCTAAGGATCAATCTGCCAGCACTTGAACACGGCAAGTTAAACGTGTTTCACGCCGTATGGTTGAGTGACGGGTTCTTCGGCAGCATAACCAAAGTGGAACATGTCGCGTAGAATGCGCTGGGCACTTGGGTGTGTCTGATTTGTCAGGGCACCCTTTTCAGGTGGTTTGCAAGGGAAACCACACAAGAAAGCCCAACATTTTGGGGGTTCCCCTAATTTGAAGACACAACCAATTGATTTAGGATAGATAAACTTGAGCACCTTGGTATGAACTCCTGGCTTCCCGAATGGACTCCATCATGGAGCCGGCAAACTTTGGGGGTGTCTTTGTTGATAATTCCGTTCCGCTAAATAACAAAGGTCTCCCCAAAACTGAGACTTGTTTCCCGAACCTCCACAGTCCCCAATGCTTCATCTAGACGCCCCAAACAAAATAAAAACAACAACAAAAACTGTGGCTGAATTGTCAGAGACAACCCAAATAAGGATGGGACACAAATCAGGCTTTATTTTGACGGGGCCCAAGTTCAGGTTTCGGCCCTTTTTAGTTCCCCAGTCTTGGCATTTTTCGGTCTTTTTCGGGGCTCGTCCAGATGAGGTTCCTCCCAGTAACATTTTGGATTTGTGTAACAGTGTAAGTTGAGTATCGGATTTGTGTTGGTTTGGTAGTGGTTTGGTCCGGTATTGGCTCTAAAGGGCGGCCCCAATATGGCTGTGTTTTGGGTCGTAAGGGAAAATCACTGTCCACTCTTTGGAGAACCCATTGTTACCTTCTGGAACTTGCTTCTTGGCATCTCCTGCGTGGACCTTCAAATCTCCCCGTTGTTTGTGTTTCTTTGCAGTGCCATGAAGTGGCCATCTCAAAGTTGGGGCCTACCCCTGGCCCAAACTCGCAAGTGAGAATGCCTGCTGGAGGCGCAGGGACTGAGCAAGGGGAAGGGGGGGAGGGGGGGGGGGGTAAATCTAGCATCTACCTCAACGGTCCAAAGCACTTTCGCAGCTGCCTTCCCCAATTCCTCATTCATCTTCCTGGAGTAAGATTCCGGCCCCATAGATGACCCAAGGCTTCAAACACCCAAACCGGTCTCCATCTTGAAAGACCCGAACAAAATTGGTGTAGTGTTTTTCTAGGCACACCGAACGACCCGAGATCCTACAAGTCGACCTCACGGTCGAGAGGCAAGCGTGGCGGATCCGCTACCGCTACAGCGCCAAGCTCCTCGCAAAACTTGTGGCTCGAAGCTTGAGACGCGCATGAGACATGGCAACGCCTTGCGTGAGATGAGAAATCAAGGTGCCAAATACAAACTTCAAAACACCTGATCAAACACCCGAACCCCACCCCTTTGTGGGGAGCGTGAGGAAAATGATGCCCGCCCCACTGAGACAACTGTTCTAGCATTGCTAACATGGTGGCTACACAACACCTTTCGCAGAACCTCTTTCCGTGGCCCTTCATGGGAGCCTCCGTCGCCTGAAGGATTGTGGTGATTTAGGCACTACTAGGCAACCCAGCCAACCATCCGCAAGCAGCAATTTGGTGGCTTGGCTACTAGGTTACCAAGCTTCCGCCTGCAACCGGTTGAGAACTGTGGCCAGAAGGTCGACAGTTTGAGTATTGATTTTGGCCGCTGCCAGCATAGGCACGTGGCCAAGATAAGCTTAGCAGAAAGGCTGAAGCCACTAGGAGTAACAGAATCGAATCATAGCTAGAGCCGTCGCCAAGGAAATGAGGTAACCCTTGCAAGGCTGTTGGTGCTGAGGGTAGGCTAAAAGTAGATGGCAAGACTTTCAGTCTGTGAGGAAAGGGGATGGCTAAAACTAAAACCAGGGAAACGTACCATCTATGTACACCCAACTGTAAAGGCCCTAAATCAATCATGAGGATGTAACCCAAGTGGCACAAAGGCCATTCCAACCTTGGCTTGCATGAGCCTCGTGCTCATTATTCTCGAAACTGGCGTGGGCAACTAGCGCCCGAAGCCGGTTGTGGATTGCTTCCATTTGGTCCAAACCATTTGGCACTAACAGTACTGTAGCAACCCTTCTACCATCATGCCTCTCGCATATGAAAGCGCGAAAAGCCATGACTGGTAGAAAGCTGCAAGACGTTACCTCAGATGCCCAGTGGCCATGGAAAAAAAAGGTACCATTTTTTGTTGGTTGAGTTTAAAGGGGAACCCTTACCCAAACAAAGGGAACAAAGGGCACCACTGGGCAACCAGAGTTACAAAGCGTCAAACTGAGAGATTGCAAACAGCCTTGGAATGGGCTCTTCCATTGCCAGCTGCGCCGACACGGGCTTCGACTGAAAAACGCCAGCAAAATTCAATCGGCAGCTTTCCGATGCGGACTTGTTGTCTGCAGGGTTCATAATATGCCTCAAACGCTTGCCAAGCGATATGACCGGCAGATTGGGGAGGCTGCCCATGGCAAGAACCTGTATATATCACATTCTTCAGCAGACCTGCGCATATTCCAACTCGCTGGCAACGAACGGATTTGGGGTGCTGTTCGTATACGTATATAGGGCTCCTTCCTTCCTTCCTGCCATACTTTCCTTTGCATCAGTTTATCATGCAGCTGTCTGAGGATCAATAACTTCTTGAAGGGGACACTTGGCACATGTGCATTTAGGGGGCTTAGGGGACCCCCGAAATTGTGGTCTTGTTTGTGGCTTCCCTTTAAACCCCCAAAACAGGTACCCTCAAAAACTGACAATGCCAAACTCGAGAACCCAAAGCGACTCTTCCCTCGACAAGAGTCTTACTAGCTTAGAGCAACGCTGACACCTCCCCGGGCTCCCGGTGCTGGCACGGAGTGGCAGCCTCAGAAGGATTCAGAGCTCAACCCCTAAGATCAACTCCTCTGACTGGGCAACAGAAACAGCTGCTCTTGCAGTTTGCAGTGCGGATGTCAGTCCTTGTCCTTGAGCCAATGCTTTGGCTAAATTTGAACAAGTGAGCAACCAGGGCGATTAGCAAAACATCACTGGCGAGCAGCGAGTTGCTCTTAGCCAACGAACAGTTTGCGGAGATGCTGCGTGAACAAACAACTGCTCATGGCCAATAGCTCACCATGCATGCCATCGTGGCGCAGCAAATGAGACCAAGATAAGTCAGTACAACTGCCACAGAAGCTGATGATTTGTTCCATAGTTTGAGTGCCTCATTTAGCTGCAACAGGGGCGTGGGACCAGATATGTAACGCCTTGGCAGCTTGCCAGTTATGCTCCAGCCACGTTTTCGTTTTGGGAAGAAGCTGGCAGCCAAACTAGTTTGAGAGGATTCGTCATTTATTTCTCGAAATTGGAGATCGATTCCTCCAGGTAGGTGGTTTCTGTTTGGTTTCCTGTTACAACTAGGCGGGGCAATTGCCCAACAATCCATCCTGGGCACCTCTCTTGTACCTCTCAGTGCTCAGTGTCAGGCATCTGCGGGTGAGCGAAAGGCAGCTTCCGGCGAGCAGTGGTCGTGCCGGGCCTTTTGTCCGGAAAGAAGCGACAAGGATTCTCCGGGGCCTGAAATTGGACCACGTCTGTCACTTGTTGAGGCAGTGCAGTTGTCCCATCCTTTGCCTTGGGGGCCATGTAGTTTCACCCGCGGCAACGCTATACAATGTAATGCTGTGCTTATATACTTCTCCCAAATCGATATTGCCTCTGCTCTTCCGTTCTTCCAGGGTTCATTGTCTCACTTGACCAAAGGACCTGGAAATAGAAGGTTAACCTTTTGGGGCCATGACTACCAAAAAGGCAAAAGGTCAAAAGGTCGGCTCTGGACAAGTGACTTGTTGGATGCTGGACAAGAAGGAGGAAATCTCTGAAGAAATGGAGGTTGTCAGTGCTAGATTCCTCAAAGGCATCAAAAGTAGGCTGATGTAACAAGTTCTCTTCAACCCGCAATTGCAAAGGAGTGCTAAGGCATGGGTTGAGTTGTGCGAGCCAATGGGGTGGAGAGCCTGAGAGCCGCCTGAGGGAACAAATCTTGTGAAATCCTGAGTATGGTGTCGGGTACAACGACCGAATCCATCCCAAAATAGCAAATGCGCAAGAGGACCCAACAGGCGCTCTCCAAAACAGAGTCTATATTAAGTTGGTCTCCTGCGAAGGAAGCAGTGTGTGTGTGTGTGTGTCTGCTTGTCTGTGTGTCTGCGCGTTTTCTGAAGGTCTTTAGCTGATTTGCTTGTTGCTTCCACAGCCAGGTATCTCAGTAGGGTCAAAAAACTGTGAAAGAAACTATATACAGAACAGCAAGCCCAAAACCTCTACTTGTGGTTGGGAGCATCCCCTTACCCTTCACCAGTCTCCAAATCAAAACCGATGAGCTCCCGAAACACCGTGTCAAGATGCAGGATTTTTGACTCTTGACCATTGCAGGACCTGGCCATCTTTATTTGAGTTTCACTCTCCTGTTCAAGGTGGTGTTGCTTGGGGAAATCACTAAAGAAACACGCAATCCATGGTTGGGACCGGTCCAAATCCCTATTTGACACATACCCAAGGTAGCGAGTTAAACCTAGAAGAAAAAAAAAGAGAAAAAAAAAACATGCACCCCAGGTGTGGTCGACCTCGCGGATTATAGGAAAAACCGGTCTGGACGGGGTTAAGGTCTTGTTTGGGACAAATCCCTACCCTCCAACTAACATAGGAGTGCAAAAAGGCGCTTTCCAAG